TATTTATAAGCACTGTATGCTCAGTGCTTGTCCAAGAGCTTGCGAAAAAAACCTCAAAAGCTTACTCGGCTGGGACTCGGACCCACGACCTCCTGCTTACTAGTGCAGATGTCTTAACCACTCGACCACTGAGCTTGTCGGCTGGCCGGTCCGAGTCAAATGAAGCAGCGGGTACTGCAAACTACCGGTATTTTCAAGATGTATTTCTTTCTTTTTTATACATCAGCATACAGCATACATCAGCATACAGTGCTTATTAATATATGTTGGGTAAGAGCAAAACCTGTTATATATAATTAACGTTCTTTTATTACAAAAATGGAGACTGAGTTGTAGGGATAGATATTTATCCCCAGAATGATTTTGGTCCCAACAACATCTATTTTTCTACTGTACATGTTGTAGTCCCCACACTAATGTGCATCTATTAGTGTGTGCTTAATGTCAATAAGCAGTGAAGGATAGAGGGTACTGTACCGTACATTTAGCTCATCACAAATGAAACATGTTCATGATCAGGCCAAGTTTAATAGGACTATTCTTGCTGCAGTATATTGTGCAGGTTTGTAAATGAGTTGAACACATCAGATATACTGTATCATCGACTACATGTACCGGGTAGCTTGTGTATTATCCTGTCATTAAATGTACATGTGTGTCCCACCCTGTCTTTGAATGTCATCCCTCTTCAAAGGCATTTTGGTGTATAGCTTCCTTTGAATTTTTTCATTCTCTTTCTACCTTTTTCTGCCATGTTTTTACCTGGTTTTGATCATATGATAAAAAAGTAGATTTCCAGTCCCATCACCTATTGGTTGAAAATAATTTGTTTTTTTCCCCCAAACCAAAGCTGGTAGGAGAACTGAAACTGTTAGATAGAAAGGCATACCAACAATTCTTGGAACAATCTGTCATTCAGGTTTTAGCTCCAGTAAAGTACTGACAGTAATTACATGTAAGTGACCCTTGACCCGACAATTACATGTAACTCCATCACAAGATTACAAAACCAGTTGTTAAATTTAATCATTCGAAGTATAGTACAGTAAACATGTACCTTATGTCCTTTAAAAGAATTGAAAGCATTAATAGAAGGCACATGTACAAGTGCAGTACCTGTATATGTTGATTGCATCTCATAAATGTCAGGATTTTTGGAAAGAGATATCCACCCACCCACCCAAAAAAAGGCAGAAAGGGTATACTACTGAGAATGAAGCAAGTGGAATCCTAGACATATGTTTGCTTGGTTGCTATATGTCAGAAAATAGAATCATATCACCATGGAGAATGGGAACAATGCCAGACCTGCTGTTCCCTGAGTACTATTGATTACAAGTGACTGTGTATAATTGCACAGTTTCATTTGTCAATCATGCCACAAGTGCAGGACCAGTGACGATGCAGATACAGGACGAATAACATGTATTTGCATTGGAGTTTTGCCCGTCTCTGTGTGTGATTCGGCTGTGTTTAATTATATAGAAATGTGTACTCTTCACACTTTTTATGCTTCACATACGAGTATTTTTCACTCGTATTCATATTTTGATCATTTTTGTACAGGGTCTGGTCATTGTTATACAATGTATCACAAAAGAACCAGGGTTCTTGAATAGTTGTCAGTGTTCAGATGTTGAATTCTGCCTAGTTCAAGGGCTTTTGTCTTTCTTTTTTCATTTGCAGCATGAAAACCTGCAACACACTAACTCAGTCACGGGTGCCACAATAGTAAGTTACATGTATTACTAATGAAAATGAACAATCTTGAAAATTGTATCCTGTTTACATGAGGCCACCGTACCGGTAGTTTTCAGATGGATTAAATTTTGTGTCTCTTTTATTTCCTGTGTCAGGTTTGGTTTCTTTCTCTTTTTTTTCATTGTATCATTGCACTGCATGTCCAATGTACAGTAAGTGAAAGTTTATACATACATGTATGCTTTCAGTTTCTGACAAGTAAATGTTACAGATGACAGTTGGGTCATGTTACCATGGCATCATCAGCAGTCTCGTGATACCAACTTCAAGGTGCAATTTTCAAAGACCCTTATCAACATAACGGCAGTACATACACGTACATCCAATCAGATTGAAAGCAAGCACAATTGAAGCTACGGTCCATTTAAGGATAGGGTATAGGTAAAATAGCAACATTCATGTTGAGACATTCACACTGGTATTAGTACATGTATGTCATTTGGAATGACCTTTAAGGCACACTCTTCAAAAGCTGTGACATACACATGTACATGTACAATGTGTCTGCAGGACTACAGTGGTTCACGCCCAGTCAGACTGAAAGCTACGATTATACATCCATGGACAGAGACGTTTTTATAACAGCAATATCATATTGATGTGGTCTTGTGTCACATGACCCCAACCTCACAGGTGCTTTCTTCACAGGCCAGTATCTACATGTACATTTACATTGCCTTATGAGATTGAAAGTATTCTAGTTTATAAACAAGGAAGTGTTACAGATGTATTTGGTCATGTGCTCATGTGTCATATGACACTGCCTTTAAAATGCACTTCAGAGAACAATAAAGAAGGACTCAGCAGGTCAGATTCGGTTCATAATAAATGTCATTTTGCACCAGAGGTTCATGCATTAAAATCTGCTGTTGTCCTGGTATCTTCCGTCCCAAACATTTAAAATGAACGACAAACTGTCATCTTCATCACACTTTAAGTCATACCCCTTCGTAATTGAGCAAATGTATACAATTACAGAATTCTCCACATTTTTCTTGGTTGTGTGACATTCATTTGAAACATCAGGCTGATAGCGTGACACTGGTTGGCATGATTTGGGTTTCCTAATACAGATTGACTGTTGACTCTACAAGAGGAGATTTGTCATTAGAAGGACTAGTACAGGTAGTATTTTTCCTATCGTGACAACATGTAACCTCTGATTTCTCCTTTTCATTCCAGGAATTCCTTTGGCAGCCAGAAATGAATGACTCGTTAGTTAAAGAGTACTCTGCTAAAGTAGTAAGTTGGCACCTTCTGACCTTGCCATAGTTGCAGATCAACTGACATGTTGTTTATTCTATCAATTTACTTCTATAGCCTTCATACCTGAGCTAAGGTTGGGCATAAATCAAAAAACACCAACACTTGTACTTATTGCTAGGCTGTGGGCATTGATCATGATGCTCTGTGTTCAAATTGCATAAGGAAGGTATTTACAGTGAAAAGTTTCAAATTCATACCACATGGTGTTGGACCCACGACATTTGGCCAGGCAAATGTCAACAAAACTTTAGTTTGTTTGCCCAGACTGCTGTTTAGGGAATTCTATGTGTACATAGATCATTTTTTAATCGACATCTCACAGGTGCATGCAAAGTGGAGCTTTAGCACAAAAATATCATGCATTATTTATGTACATACATGCATATCTTTGCCCTCCACCAAATATATAGGAGAGGGCATGTTCCAATCATTATCTACTGATACAGCCTGTCTGTCTATCTATAAACCTTGTTTTCTTTCTAGTCTGCCTCTGCAAAGCCTGTACTTGTTGTCCTGGGAGTGGCAACATGGACCATTAAACTTCACAACGCTGCTCTGGAGGCATGGCAGCAGTATAGAGGTACAAATCACTGTCCAATGATCTTGTTAACTCATAAACCAATCATGCTGCAGGGCGCTGTGGGTCACAACGCTGGAATTGTCTTTTTGCTCAGAAATGTGAGAGATTGGGCTGTCAGTGCCGTTAGAGTAATGCCAAAGGAAAACAATCCAGGTGGTAGGCTGATGTAGTGATCCTCTCCTGGTTTAGTTCTTCCAACTTCCAGCCAGAGTCTTGAACTTCATGGAGAGTTGGTCTTTACGTTAATTGTTGAGATAGTCAACTGCTATTACTCTCCAGAGCTGATTTCATGAAACTGGCTGTAACTTTGAATCATGCGTAAGCCTTGCATCCTAAATTTATGCTGCAAAATATAGCTGCACAATCTACTTATGTTCCATTTCCAGAAATTTTGCGTACCTGCTCACAGTCTTAAATTAAAGTTCTTGGACGAAGACAAAAACAGCTTTTACGACTGCTTTTCATTTCCAATATAATAACAATCATCAGTCGTTGAGTCACCTCAACCCGCCATTTTGAAAAAAGTTTTAGTCTTTTCTTCATTGGAACTGGACAAAAAATCTCACAGTTCGGTCACAGCCAAACTACATGTAGTTTTTCATTACCTTCTACAACAAAGTTTTACGTTTCTCAAATAAGCCTTGTTAAGTTCAACAATAATGAGGCTTAATTAACCAAACACAGTAAGTCAAATCATTCATTTTCACTTTGTTTGGTGTTACTTATGCCACCTAAAGTGACTGCGTAAGTTACCCCACAATTTGTTGCATAAGTTGTGGACTTACGCAGTGAGTAAGTTTCGGGAAATCTGTCTTAAGTTGTTGCACAGCTTACGCAATAAAATGTGGCGCAAGTGGAGTAACGTCATCGGGTAAAGTTTTGTGAAAATGACTGCAGGCTTTTCCTCCCACCATAAAGAGTAATTCCTGTCCCATTTCATCTTGGTTCGAAGCTGGGAAAACAACACTCAAAGAGTTATCTGGATACCCAGAACCGAGGAGAAATATCCAGTTTCTTTTCCACTTTCTTGTTTAGTGAACATGACACAGCTGCTGCCAGCATTGCTTCAGACAGAGAAGGGAACAAAAGTGGTGTGGATGATGCAAGGTAACATTTACATATGTACATACATGGACAAGTAACCTTCAGCAGTATGGGTTAATTCTGTGGTTTTGCTGTGAACCATCCGTACACATCTGTGAAGCATTCATGTTTTCTGTTTGTCTTGCCTTACTACAGGTTTTCACACAGCTTATACCGACTTAATATCTGTTCATATTAACTAAGCTTGTGTTTGAGCGTGCCTTGTTGAATGGTTTTCCGTGTGTCATTTTGTGTGTTTTTTGCCTTCAGTTGTGGTTGGCTGGCTGTTGTTTCATTGTCAGCTTGTCTGTGATTTCTTGGGATCTGTAGTACTGTTTATTGAATTACATCTTTGTGGTTATAACTCTCGTTATTTTGTTAATACAATTGTCCTGGAGTATGACTTATTCTTTGTTTCTTGAAAAGTTATGAATGTTTTTGTTTCATGCGACATTGAGAGAAAATTATGCGTACATGTATCTTTTTCCTTCTTTCTTTCTTTCTTTCTTTCTTTCTTTCTTTCTTTCTTTCTTTCTTTCTTTCTTGTGTCTTCTTTCTGAAATTTCAAGTGACATGAATGAAAAGACCCAAGATTGTTAAATGCAGAGAAGATTCCTATGACCTTTTAGTGCTAATTTCTTGTCTGCTGCAGCACCGGTTCAGGAGTCATTGCTCAGTTCAAGTCGTAGAATGATCAGTAACAAGCAGCTAGATCTCTACAATACTGCGGCAGCAGATGTCTTGTAAGTCAGACTCCACAATCTTATTACAACAGCACTATGCACTGCTGGTGTATCACGTTGTTTACTGTAATGCACTATTGGGATAAAAAGGAAGTCATTGGTGTACACACTGCTATCATAAACATATAAATACGATTATCCCAATTTCCATAAGGTAGTTGTTTTGTGTACTCGTTGTTTTAAATCATCTATCGGGATAAAAAGGAAGTCATTGGTGTACACACTGCTATCATAAACATATAAATACGATTATCCCAATTTCCATAAGGTAGTTGTTTTGTGTACTCGTTGTTTTAAATCATCTATCGGGATAAAAAGGAAGTCATCGGTGTACACACTGCTGTCATAAACATATAAATACAATTATCCCAATTTCCAAAAGGTAGTTGTTTTATGTACTCATTGTTTTAAATTTTCTGAGGACTTATCTTTCACAAAGAAACTGTAAGATTGCACCTTTCACTTCTTGTGATCAAATGGAACGCATCCATTTGCTGTTTCCCCTGCTTTGCTTTTGTTGTAGAGCAACTTCTCGATTTCAGAGTGGGTTCCAAGTTAGACCTTTTCCTTCTGTTGTTAAACTATACAACTAGTGTTTTCTATCTCAAAGTGGTAGAGTGCATTTTGATACAGTGATTGATAACACAGGGGAATCTCAATCATGAAAGAGAGGATGGGGGCATTCATTAGGTCCTTAATCTCAGATGCATACATATATATTGAGAAGTCACAACATTTTTGTGTACATTCTGATGAAAAACTGGGTGCCCCTTCCTCCTGCCGTACATGCATGAACAATTGCATGAGCTCATACTGACTCTTCTACCTTTATTAATTGGCCATAGTGTACCTTGAGATTCATAGTGACACTACCCAGAATAATTTCCACCTCAAATCTTAGTATTTGTTGGTTATCCATAGAGCTAATTCAGGTGTGTACCTGTGGTATTCAGCAATAGAAGTTTCCAATAAATCAGAGGCAGGCACAATAGATGGAATACACCTGAACAGTGAGGCACTTCACACTGTAAGTAATCGTAATCATCATTATTGAATAGGTCTGAGAATACCTGCCGGCAGCATCTTGTAAAAAGTTTTCTCTACCTAGAACTGGACTGAGTAATCATGATTATTGCCAGACGACACCTTCAACTTTCCCAACTCTCTGAAATCTTTGTTTGTACTGCAAAATAATAGCTAACCATTTCACAGAACATGTTGGGAAAAGTTGAGGATAGTGAATATTATGTAATCTTTTTTAGGAGAATTTTGTACAATTGAAGCGTTTTTCAAAGATCTGGTACAGATGATCAGCATATAAAGAATGACAAGGTCAAGTGGAAGTTTTCCAGCACAGGTCAGTTTGACATCTTGAACCAGAGACCCGTTTCACAGAGCTGCCAAAATGCATGCAGAGAAAGTTGCAGGCAAATGGGCCACTCTGAGGAAATAAGCTGCCAGCAATAGGCATCCAACAGCATTGTGGGTGGTTTTTTGTGTGCCTAGCAACCTTGTAGGCCCCTAGTTGCAGATTTCCTGAGACAATCTTGTCTTTAAGCAAAGAAATGAAATCAGATATAAGATGCTTGCTGTGTTCTTCTTTCCTACAGGATACACAACTCTTACTCAACTTGGTGTGTAATTCTAAAACTCGTTCACCGGACACATCATGCTGTACTGGTGAAAGCTTTGTTCCTAACCTGCTACAGATGCTGACTTTCTGTTTCTTCATCTCGTGGTAAGTTGTAACTTGAGCACTTTGTGAAGAACTGAGTGGGATTGAGGAGAACGCTGAAAATGCTCACCACAAATATGCAGTGGCGCTGTTTGGAAACGGTATGGCAGCACAGGGCCTATCTATGCAAGTCAAGTTGAAGTGTTCACTTTAATGAATCAAAATGTTTCTCACATCATAATATCGGATCAAAAGCACGTACACAGGTTGTGACAAATTTCCACGGACATTTCAGGGTGGATGCTAAAAACAAATCACTCCACAAAGAAATGGTTGTCTTTTCATAATTCATAATGTTACTTCTGTTGAAGTGATCCAAGGTTCAGTTTTTCACCTCTTATCTCCAGTGGCTCAGGTCAGATGTCATCAAAATTCCTCTTTGCATTTATAGTGAATGGATCTAAATGGGTGTCCTGTGCAGTAGTGCAGAAACTAACATACTTTCATCTGATGTTGTCTATCAATCTTCAACCTGCAGTGGTGTAATTTCTGTGGGCCTTAGAGCACGTTTAAGACACATCGCCACCCAACCTGTCCCCGAACCTGCCTCCGTTAATGCAGCAAATCTCCACAATCATGTCCAGCCATCACAAGAGGGCACTGTGTGCAGAGACCCTGAGTCTAGTAACACTGCACAGAAAGCCAGCGATCTTGTGCAGGTGCATAAATTAACCAGCTCCTTGGCAAAGTTTGGAATCATTCTGCTGTATTTCTTCCTAGCTGACAGGTAAAAGTTGTGATAGCATGTTGGATACTATCTTTCTGCATAGCCAAACTTTTTTGCAGGATGGGGGGTGGGGAGTAAAGTATTATTATGTCCTTTTCTCTTTCAAAAAATAAACGCTGATTTGGAGCTGTAAATTTTTTTACTTATCCACTTAGGTCTTTTTTTGTTTTATGTCTTTTTTGTTTTATTTCTCTTTTAGGACGGATTTCCTCTACAAAGAGCAGAAGTTCTTCACCTACAAATCTTTCTTTATTCCACTGGTATATGTCCTTGTTCTTGGATTGTTCTTTGTTAAAAAAGTTTCCAAGGTGAGTCATCAGCTGAGAATGTTGTAAATTTGTGCTTTTTTTACCCTAACTACCCCAAACCTGCCATACTCCAACAGCAGGTTTTATGAGGTTTTGGCAGGTTTGGTACTTTACCTGATGAGCTTGTTACATTTTGTTGGACTTGGTATCAAAAGCCCAGGGTGATGATGTTGGATTCTGTGTGAGTTGGAACACACATGGCTCATGGTGTGCAGCGTCTGGCTTGCTGTACCAAGTGTTGGACTATGCTTGATTTTTGTCAGGTTTGGTACCACTTCAGTGCAAGTCATCCTATACTGCATAGACCCATCCATACCATATTACTCAAACTCCAACAGGCTCATTCTGTTGGAGTTTATCAGGTTTGGTACAGTGACCTGCATGTACAAGTACATAGACAAGTACATGCACCTATGAAGTTCAGTATGCTTTCTAGTGCAAGAGCCTGGGGGTAAGGTTAAAGTGTACCTCTAAAGATGTGTTATTGCTGATATCGATGCATCGCTATCTTAGTTTCCTCATTTTCCTACTATGTACCGGTGACAATGGATATTTTTCTGTCTTGTTTGCTAGCCGGTTGTACTGAATGTCCCTCAGACCACAGAATGGAAAGGATGGATGCAGTTAGCAATCCTGATATATCACATCACAGGAGCTAGCAGGGTAAAAAACAACCAATAGATTATGACCTTGTGGTCACATGCATATTTGGTAGAGTCTGGGTGGACAAAGTCTGTGGAGGTTTTTCTTGCCTATGAGTCAATGGATAAGAATACTTTCGATGCTCATTAAAATGAATATTGGTACATTTACAATCTCACCCGACAAATCTGGTAAGGTGTTGAGTGATTTTCTGAAAACTAACTTGTATTGCTTACTTCAGTGTGCAGCCCTTCAAATCTTTCCAAGGAAACTAAATAGTTGTCAGGTTTGTCTACCACAGTGTCTTCAGACACAATGAGTAAGATTTAATCGTAAGTAAGCCATATAGACACATGCCTAAGAGTACGTTGGGGGGTTTTTTTGCGCATTTCATTATTCACTTTTAACCACTCCCTGCCAGGGATTCCGGATCCGGAAATGTCTGCTTTATATGCGTGGCCAGGGTCTCCGAACTCGGTCTGTTTACAAAGTGTTTTTTGGACAAAGAGAATAGGGCCTTGTAACAAAAGACCAGGCTGCTGGGAATTACCGGCATTTTTTCACTCTCAAAAGTGGAGATAAACCAGCCTTTTTTTGAAACAGTATACCACGGTTTGGGGCATTTAGAGCGAGCGGATTACCATTGGGGACAAAATTGCTCCACCACCGCAGCGATGAGCCACACAGCACCGCTGCATGCTCATCTGGCCCCTATTGAAAAGAGGTCAGCAGCACACTGAGTTAGGTTCATGAACAAAAGAATGTTATATAACACTGCAAAATCTGGACTCACTAGAGGGGCCACCAGACAATCCTTCACATGTTTTGTAAGTGTCCAGTAAATGAAGATAGGAATATTGAAAGAATTTTGAAAACAGAAACAAAATGATAAATATCCCAGCCCAGTATCATCAACATTGATAACTGCCCACAGGAAGTGGTTAATTGTGATTCACACTTTCTTATTTCAACGCTCACCAGCATCACTGAGTTTTACCGCAACTGTATTTTACTCTCTGTTTTTTAACAGAAAATTCCAATCTACATGCATATCAGGATTCTGGTGGCCAGCTATCTGTTTCAGACTGCTTATGGTCAATTCACTGCCAGCTGGGACAAACAGAAATTCGGTTTAGTGAGAGTGTGTCAGGTAAATCTGTAGAAAGGAATGCATATGTACATGGAACGGTCACTGCACTTATTAGAAGTCAAGAGATTTTCACAATTCTAGAATTAAATTGATTAGATACTTATTACTAATATCATTTGTTGTGAAGCACAGAGTTAAAGGCGGTTTCTTGAAATATTGAAACTGATGTAAAATGAATTAATTGAAGTGATTGTCTTTAAAATTAAATAATCAATTCAGTCAGATCTTTTATATTTCAACAGCTGAAATGCTAACATTTATAGACTCAGAAACATGGTCATGAAGAACTGTAAATTGTAGCAATACTAAACATGCATGGATAAGCTAAGAATTTCATTCGTGTCTTGCTAAAATTGTTATCTTTTTTCCTGCAGGTTTTGTTCAGGCAGAATTTGTTAGTAGTCTCACTGTGTTTGGTTATGAATAGACCGTATCAGTTCTACTACTTTGTGCCTCTGGTGTCATTCTGGTATCTACTTATCTACACGACCATGGCATTACCTCCAAGAGTCACACAGGAGTCAGCATCAGGTTAGTCACTGGACTAAACATCA